CCCCCCTCGATCGAGGCGGCGCGACGATGAGATCGCCGAAGCAGGGGATGGAGGATGACCTCCACCACCGCGCTACTCCGACGGCTGCGGCGGGGAGGCGGAAGGGCAGCGTGAACCGGGAGTGGCTGGTGGTGTCGGACTCCGGCAGGTCGTACCACGAGGAGGTGGGGAAGCACTCCATCATGCGGCGGACGGGGCTCCCAGCCCGCGACCTGCGGGTCCTCGATCCTCTCCTCTCCTACCCGTCCACCATCCTCGGCAGGGAGAGGGCCATCGTCATCAATCTGGAGCATATCAAGGCCATCATCACCGCCACCGAGGTTCTCGTGCCCAACTCAAAGGACCCCTTGGTCGCCCCTTTTGTTCAGGATCTCCAGTCCCGGGTCGCCGGTTCCTTCGGCGCCCCTCAGCATGAGGTGATGCCGTTCTTCCCTTTTATCAGCATCAATCCGTTGTTCCTAATTAGATATCACATGGCAGATCTCAATCCAATTTTGCAATAAATACCGCCCGATTGCCTATTTAGTTTAATTGCACAGATCTCCTACTTTGATGACCGCTATATCTCATTGAATAGTTGTTAATTGATCGTTTGTTGTTCATCTAGTGCATGAACCGAGCGAATTGATGTTTGCCTACCGTTGAATCGATAGTTATTGATCTTGATTACGTTCAATCAGTTTTTCTTTTTTTCTTGATGATACATAAGATTATTTTTATCCTTAAAGGCTGCAGAGACTAGTGATTTGGATGAGGAGGCTATAAGAAGGTCTCCATCATGCTGGCCCTCGTTTCCTAGTCAAGGCATGACAGCAACACATGGAGCCGATATATCTAAACACAATGGTTCCTTGACTGGTGATCTGCCAGAAGGCGGCCATAGTCCTGGATTAGACGTCAACGGCGATGGGAGCACCAAGGTGCTCCCTTTTGAGTTCAGAGCACTTGAAGTCTGTCTTGAGTCTGCCTGCCGGTGCCTTGAGTCAGAGGTGTGTTTTCTGCGATTGAATTTGAAGATATTACCATGTTGCTGTTGATCTACCGCTTAGTCTAATTCATAAAACACCTTTTCAGCGTTTGACTGCTTGGAACTTTCATGTTCCATTATCTTCTCATTCAATTTATGTCATGTCAACTATATTTTTTGGGCATATTTGTGACAGATTCTGCAGGAATTTTCTTTGTTGCTACACTTGCTCAAAAACTTTGGTTTTGATATTAATATATATCGCATACTTCAGCCTAATTTAACCTTAGACACAAGTGTTATTTTTCTTGTGTAATCTATCTGCTTGTTCTTTTGCCATTTCCTTCTTTGGAGTCTTCTCCTCTTGGTCTTTATCCATGTCTTCCTCCTAGACTAAGGATGCCTGCTTTCTCACCAACTTCAACTAATGTAATTCATTTTGAGTTTGCTAAATTGCCTGCTTTATAATGCTATGATCATATTTGACTCTTATATTTTATGCTTGAGCCATTTTTCACCTATCATTTGGAAAAAAAAATCCAAAATTTGACTAATTTCTTTTTTCTTTAGTGCTAATATGATGTTAATCCTCTTCATCCACATCATTCAATTGTTCTTTAACAAAATTGTTTCCTTATCTTTCAAACATGGTTTTATATCATTATTATCTTCAGGCGGATTGCATGTAAAAACATCTTATACATGCATCTGTAACACATTTTCCTTTTAGATAATAGACTTGTGCTTAGATATGTTAATTCATGTAGCTGCACTGGTTCAGATATTTCTACTTGCAAACATATATGACTGTAAAGCATTTTCTTCCATCGATAATGAGTTCATTGTTGAAGTGATGTTAACTGCTTTCTTGGTTCATATTCTTAAACTCACTTTCATTGCTAACAATTTGCATCCTTCCTTTTTATTTTTTTTCCTGTTTTGGTGTTCAGACACTAACCTTGGAACAAGAGGCATATCCAGCTTTAGATGAATTGACTTCAAAAATCAGCACACTTAACCTTGAGCGTGTCAGGCAAATCAAGAGTCGCTTGGTGGCAATATCTGGACGTGTGCAGAAGGTAAGACCTGATTGCTCAAAGCTAAAATAGACATTGGCATGTGTTAAATTTATTGAAACTACTGTGTTACTCACCCTGTTTTTTCATTTTGTATGTCTATATTACTGTATAATGCTCTTGATCCCTTCTGAAGCACATGCTGGCTCTCCGAGGCAGTGATTGCAAAAGGCGCTCGGGCGCTCGCCTAGGCGCTCGGGCGAGGCGAGGCGAGGCCCGAGCGCCTCGCTAATGTCCCAGGTGGCGCGCTTCAATCAGGCGCCGCCTGGGCGCTCGCCCGAGCCCAGGCGCTGGGCGCTTCAGGCGAGCGCCTGGGTAAACCGAACCAGAATTTTAGGTCTGGTTCGGTCCTGGTTCGGTTGTTAGTTGGTTCAATCGAACCAACTAAACCGATATAACCCCAACCCTAACCCTAACCCTAACCCAACACTAACCTGTTGCCGATCCCGATCCCGATCGCGATTTCGTCGCTCGCTGCCGCTGCCGCTGTCGCTGCTCGCGCCTCCCGCGAGCCTTCCCGCTGCTCGCGCCTCCCGCAAGCCCTCTCGTTGCTCGCGCCTCCTGCGAGCCCTCCTACTGCTCGCGCCTCCCGCGAGCCCTCTCGCTGCTCGCGTCTCCTGCGAGCCCTCCCGCGAGCCTT